TGCAATTTTTTTGTATTCGCTCTAAAATCTTTGCATGCTAATATTTTATCGCGGCTTTATGATTTCAACATGTAAAATTTAAAAGTATTTCGATCACGCGATATTTTGGGTACATTGAAGTTAAGCTGTTAGTGTGCTTTGCTACTAAGCCCTTTTTTCTTTATTTATTCAATATTTATTTTTTCAATATTTAAACTTCTTCCACAGTGATACCTTCTAGAACACATTTTGGAAATATACATCAAATGACGCGTAATTACAATATATACTTATTCTCTTTTATACATTTTGCATAACCTAAGAGCCGCAAATATTTTATCCAAAAAACTGCAAATTTTGTAAAATTGTATAAATTTGGTTTCTAAACATTGTGACCACATAATTCTTTACTTATAAATGGCACAACAATTTAATATGGACTATAGTCATTCAACAAGTGTATACAGCTTACATTAGCAAAATTGACTTTCTAAGTTGTAAGCCGCTCTCATAATATCAAATAGTTGTAAAAAGAACTACTCGTACTACTGTACGAATCGTTCGTTATTTCGCACCACGAAATTCTTTCGTAATATATACGACATTGTACGAAATATTTTAGTATAATGCAAAATAATCTTGGAAAAATTAATTTACATAAATTGAAAAAAGTAAATTTTGAATAAATATGTTAAAATTTACGAAATATTAATTTATGCAAACATTTTTGCTCATTTTAAAATAATTTTTCTAATTTTAGTTGAAAATTATTCTCCACACGAATTTTTAATTTTTTTATGAAAATAATTCGTGAATAATATTATACTTTTTCTTAAATTTTATAAAAATGTTGTAGTTTTATTTAATGATAATATAAATAATATCATTATGTTTAATTTCGCTAAAATTTAAGAAAAAAATATTACGAAAGGTTTTCGTACTTTCGTAAAAATAGAAAAGGGTTTTATTAAAGAATATTTCGTATTATACACGAAATTTTTGTAAATATTACGAAAATAGAAGTTACGAAATTTTTTTTCGTAAAGTTGAGCATGGATTTTTTTCAGTGTAGAAATGTATAATTCTGTGGAAAAACACATACGCTTGTATTCATAAAAAAATCTTATTTTGGTTTTAATACACACAATAGTTAAAGCACACTTTAGCCTTAAAATCCGTTAATAAAATTGTGATATTCATAAACAAATAATAAATTTACATTAGCTATTGTGCTGTTTTTTGTTTAACTTGGCAGCACTGTACAATTTGGCTGTCTTTTTATACCCACCATCAAAAAAGATGGGGGGTATATTGTTTTTGTCATTCCGTTTGTAACACATTGAAATATTCGTCTAAGACGATCTAGCCATGTCCGTCCGTCTGTCTGTCTGTTGAAAACACGATAGAGTCCAAATGGAAGTAGCTAGCGAGCTGAAATTTTGCACAGATACTTTTAGTTGATGCAGTTTGTTTGGTATTGAAAATGGGCATTATCGGTCCACAATTTCGCCTAGCCCCCATGCTAAGGGAAAAACCAATAGCAATGAAATTCGGCACAAACATGTTTTATGAGAACATAAATCTTCTGGTGGAATTTAATAAGGATCGGTCCATAATTGACCCTACCCCCCCATACAAAGTTCCCTTCAGAAAATGACTTTATCGCCCATAACTAGCTAAGAAAAACATTAATAGAGGTGAAATTCGACACAAACATGTATTATGAGAACCTAAATCCCTTTCTAAAATTTTATAAGGATAGGCCCATAATTGACCCTACCCCCCATATAAAGTCCCCTTCAGAAAATGACTTTATCGCCTATAACTGTCTAAGAGAAGCATCAATTCGGCAGAAACATGTTCTATGGGAGCATAAATCTCTTCGTAGAATTTTATAAGGATCGGTCCATAATTGACCCTACCCCCCATATAAAGTCCCCTTTAGAAAATGTCTTTATCGCTCATAACTGGCTAATAGAAGCATTAATAGCGGTGAAATTCGGCACAAACATGTTCTATGGGAACATAAATCTCTTCGTAGAATTTTATAAGGATCGGTCCATAATTGACCCTACCCCCCATATAAAGTCCCCTTCAGAAAATGACTTTATCGCCCATAACTGGCTAAGTGAAGCATCAATAGCGGTGAAATTCGGCACAAACATGTTTTATGGGAACCTAAATCGCTTTGTTAAATTTAATAAGGATAGGCCCATAATTGACCCTACCCCCCATATAATGTCCCCTTCAGAAAATGACTTTATCGCCCATAAATGGCTAAGAGAAACATCAATAGCGGTGAAATTCGGCAAAAACATGTTTTATGGGAACATAAATCTCTTCGTAGAATTTTATAAGGATCGGTCCATAATTGACCCTACCCCCATAATAAGTCCCCTTCAGAAAATGCCTTTATCGCCCATAACTGGCTAAGAAAAGCATCAACAGCGATGAAATTCGGCACAAACATGTTTTATAAGAATTTAAATCTCTTCGTAAAATTTTATAAGGATCGGTTCATAATTGACCCTACCCCCAATACAAGGTTCCCTTCAGAAAATGACTTTAATGCTCATATCTGACCTTAAGAAACATATATACTTACATATATATAGCAATAAAATTCGACATAAAAAATTTTTATAGGAACTAAAATCATTTTCTTAAATTTTATGAGGATGGGTCCATAATTGAACCAACCCCCCATATAAGGTCCCCTTCAGAAAATGACTTTAAAGCTTATTACTGACTCAAAAATGTGAGTACATTAGTAAAATTCTACATAAACAAGTTTTGTGCGAGCCAATTTTATAAGGATCGGTCCTTGATTAGCCCAATCCCCCTTGTGAGGTCCCCTTCAGAAAATGACTTTAAAGCTCATTACTAGCTTAAAACTGCGAGTACAGCGATGAAATTCGACATGAACAATTTTCGTATTAGCTAAAATCTCCCACTAAATTTTATAAGGATCAGTCTGTAATTGACCATACGCCAGTATAAGGTCCCCTTCAGAAAATGACTTTAACGCTCATTACTGACTCAGAAATGCGATTACAGCAGTGAAATTCTACGTAAACAAGTTTTGTACTAGCCAAAAACTATTTATGGGGATCGGTATATAACTGACCCCACCCTCCATATAAGGTCCCCTTACGAACATAATTTATGTACGAAGGTTTATAAACATCGGTCTATAATTGACCCTTATATAAGATTCACTCCAGAGAATCACTTTAACGCTCATGTATGGCTCAAAAGTTCTTCCAAATTACGGTAGTTTTATAGGAACTGGAATTTTTCAACCGAATTTCATGATGATCGGTCGATAAGTAATCAAACACCCATTTTCGGTTTCCTTCAGATAATTACTTTAAACCCCATGACTGAATTAAAGATACAAGTACAGCTACATTAGATACAAATAATTATTTTATACACCGACAAGGATAGGTCTATAATTGACTCCACCCTCCATATAACCACTCTTACAAAAAACAAACAGTTTATGGTTATAAATATTGGATCAAACAAAATTAATATTTTTAATTCGGAAGAGCACGGTCCATGCTTAAGCCTTTATTTAATTTAATTTTTTTAATATTTCCCTGATGTTCATAATAATATCGACATATGATTCAACATAAATCAATAATATTAAAGTTTATTTATAAGGATGATTTGATGGTGGGTATATAAGATTCGGCATGGCCGAATATAACACTCTTACTTGGTATGTGTTGTAACAGCTTGATCAGTGGTGATGCTTTTACTTATTCTTCCACTTAGATTTAACATAAAAGGGTAAGACAAATTAAAATTTCACTTACATAATGTGTGGAGTTCTAAGCGAAGTTAATGAGACGCCTATAAACGCTTGCAAATAAGAATGTAATGTATGTAGATTACAATCCTATTTGCATTTGTAAGTCAAAGTACCATGTTTTCCGATTTTGTTATAGAAAAATATATATTTTTTTATATTTATTTTAAAATTATGCAAGTTTATTTAAAAATGATCATCAAGTAATAAACATGTATTATAGTTAATTCAATAAAAATATAATTAAACAATTTCAACGAAGATAAATGAAATGAATCTTAATTTTCTTAGAACTCCACACATTATGTAAGTGAAATTTTAATTTGTCTTAATGATATTGTGGCTTACATTCTAAGCGAGAGCACATCGATGAGGCAGCCTAGGACACTTTTATGTTAAATCTAAGTGGAAGAATAAGTGGAAGCATCACTACTGACTGCCACGAAATATCACTTAGATAAGCGAATGAATAATATGTATTTTTACCGCTGGGTTTTTCTCTTATTTTCATGTTGTAGCGTTGCCATATGTTAATATTATTTTGCTACAAATCCTGCAAAATTGCAAAAACAGGGTTGTTATAATGCGAATTTTTCGCCACGTGCTATTATTAACAGAAGATATAAAATGAAAATAATAATAGTTGTGCCTATTTTTGAAGGGATATTAGTATATTTGTTATAATTATGAGCTCCAAATACCAATTTAGGGGGTCCGGTTATATGGGGGCTACGTGAAATAATGGAGCGATATCAACCAAACTCAATAGGTTTCGTCCTTGTAATGCGTGTACCAAATCAGTAAGTAGTAGATTGGTATACTAAAGGTATAGGACCATTAATTTTATGCGTTACAAACATCATAACAAATCCAACGTACCCTCCTCACTAAAGTGGTGTAGGGTATAAAAAGCTTTATCTGAGAAAAAAATTGTAAAATCAACTTATTGTTGGCTTAAAGAAGGTTCGAGGTTCGAAGGTATTTTAAGCTATTTGACGTTTATGTATACGATTTTCGTGAATTGCCTAAAATTGGTTAATCTACAATAAGTTTTTATGAATATAGCCATTAAACTTCGGGATTTTAAAATCTTGAAATTACCGAAAAACGGAATTTCTAAAAATGAAATCCCAGGATTTGAAAAATCGGGGTGATTATAAAAAACAAATATATTACATTACATGTATTCTCAATTACTTACATTTTGTGATACATCTGAAAGGCACTGATTCGCACAAAAGTACAAAAATATTATATAATTATTGTATACATATATATATAATTATGTATGTAATTAATAAAATTACCTGAATTTAATGTGTAGTCTTCGTTCTCACTATAATATATGGGGCTCAGTCTTGATAGCGAATTACTACTTAATGGCAGTCTTATGTTTTGGATGTCTTGTAGCTCAGAATCGACAGAGTCAGAAACTAAATCTTCGGGTAATGTTGAAATATCTCTGACAGGATTTACTTTTAACATGGAAACTGTAAAGCAATCAAGAAAAGTTATTAATAGCTAATTTTATTGTTTTTCATTATTCTACTTTAAAATTTTGAAGAAAGAAAATACATATATGTATGTAGGTGTATAAATAAATATTACTTAGGAGTAATTAATTATATCGACTAAGTAATTGATTATTGGAATTAAATTTATGTATGTAACTCAAATTTTTTTTTATCTAATTACACCATGAACAATTTTGAAAAAAGCTTTCACACATAGAAAAGTTGATATGCATGTGAAACTTGACTCCATATATAGCAATTCTGCGTACTACGATTTTTATATACAGCTTTTATATCCTTATAAAAGGACTTGTAATTTCAAAAGACTATTTTAAATATTTATATGTGTTGTATTATGCTAATATTAGTTTCAAATGAAATTTAGGAATCTGTGCATTCCATCTATATTATTTATTTGACAAAAAATCGAAAAGAAAGGTATCATTTTCGAAACAAAAATTTGTAAATAGTTTTTTGTGACAAATTTTCTTTAAGCTTCCATTTCTTTTTTAATCCTGATGAATTGAAATAAATAATATTATTGTGAAGCAGAGGTTCACAGCTTCATTTGATATTAATATCAGTACAAAATTTTTTATATAAATTTGGAATTCCATCTTTTGAAATCGTATGTCCTTTAAACTTTAAAGTCCTTTTACAGGATAATAAGAGCGGATTATGAAAAACTGAGTGCACAGAGCTAATACTAATGGTCAACACATAGATGGTACACATAGATTTTTTCATGTGTGAAAATGACTATTGCACGGTGTTATCATGCTTTTTAATGCATTTTCATTCTCTGTAAAATACAGAGTATTAATACTTCTCAAAAATGTTTGTATCATCTCAGCAAAAACTCGGGAATGGCTTGTACTTACATAACCACTTATTTTTCAATTACTACTACTCACCGTCTTTTACTTTTAAGTACTCTTATAATGACTTATACATATATAATCAGATACTTTATTTTGGTTTTTGCCGTTTTTTGCACATTTTATTGAATTGATCACCAGCAACTTTATTTTACATACAGAAAGCAAATGGTTTTTCTGTGTTAAAACAATAAAAGCGAGCGTGGTAAGTACTTGCCTATAATGATATCACCGTGTAGTGAAAAGTGGCTTTTTTAGCTTTTTAGCTCCTTACTTTTAAAAGTAAGTTTTTGCTGGGATAATACAACATAATTTGTATTTTAATACATATTAAGCTTTTATAAAAGCAATCTGCATTCAATTATTTTAAAATTGTAATTATTTAGGCAAATTTCTACAATACCACATTTACACTACAGCGAAATCTAGTACTTATGAGATTTCGAGCAAATCCTGTTGATTTTTACTAGATTTGGCAAAATCTAGTAAAAATAGAAATGCAACTCTTTTTTTGCCAAATAGTACTAAAAATACGACGCTGCAGAAGAAAAAATGACAATTGAAACAAAACAAATGAAAAATGGAAGTAATCTAATTTTTTAAGAAAATTTCCTACAATACGGAAAACATGGATGAAAAGTATTCTGAAGATATAATATAACGTGATATTTAAATGCCGAATCCTGTACAATGTGTAAAATACTGATAAATATTTTATTTATTTTATTTATATTTATTTATACAGATTATACATATATAAATATTTTATATTTTTCAATATTGTTTGCTTTTAAACAAGATTTATTTTTAAAATGAAATCTAGCCAATGTCAAAAAAGTGAAGTGTAAACGGTCTAGGTACTTATTCATAAACATTTACAAAATTTGTACTATAAACCTTTGATAAATGTTTATGAATAAGGCAGCTAGATTTTGATTTGAATTTTTGAAGATTTGAAATCTAATCTACTAGATTTCGCTGTAGTGTAAATGCGGTATAATAAAAAAATGTATATTATTTTGGCCAATTTTGTGCAACTCTGTGGTATTTTCATAAGTTGTGAAAAGCATTTTTACACTAATACTTATAAAGAAAATCCGAACAATACATATGTAGAGTTAGGTTTTTTGACAGCAGACTTAGGTGTTTTTTTTTTTTTTTGGGAGTGTTGGCCTTTTACGGTAATATGAGTTAAAAAGATAAATAAGCCGCTTCTTACTACTTGATCATTAGCATTTAACTCATTATTTTTGGAAGCAAATACTTATCACGCTCGCTTACAAATAAGGAGTTAAAAACTTGTTTTGATTTAAAAACAAAAAAAATGCTCTAACAGAATACGAACCTGGGCTTCTTGTTCGTTAGTTTGCTGTCTTACTCACAACAGCACTGCTTATTTATTTTATTGTGCTTCCAATAAAGGTTTCTTTCAGTGTATATTAAAAAGGATAATATCAAAAAATTTCGAAGAAAAAAGTAGGATTTTGAACATTACCCTCTCCGATTTTGATGAAATTCGGTACACACATTCTTAATGTAAATACGGAATTTAAAGTTCTCCAAAATTTCCAAATTCATATTTTTAGGATTTTTTCAACAAGCATTAAATTTGACATCGTATATTTAATCGTTTTAGTCCCCAATTAAAGCCTACGTCTTGTAGCTTGATAATATTTTATTAAAAATATTACAGTTTTTACGTAAAGATGATGACATCAAACAACGTCCTTTAGTCAAGGATATCTCAAAAAATATACTTTCCATTTTCTTTATGCCTTCACATAAGATTGCTTATTGTGTACTCAACAATATATAAAAAATTTGGAATGGATCAAAGAGGAGATCTCAAGTTTAACAACTTTTAGTAAAATAATCCACATTATTTTTATACAAATTTCAAAATTTATAGTTTTATTTGTTGACGAACACCAAAATAAATTAAAAAATTTGAAACAAAAATTAAATTGTTCTTGAAGAAAAAATTAACATTTTTGAAATTTGTATGGAAAAACTAAAAGTTGGTTTATTTGAGATCCCCTCATTGTCTCATTGTGAAATTTGTATATTTTATGCATTGAACACATTGAAGACAGCAGACTACCAACTGCAATCTGTCAAAAATAAAATACACACGTTTATATGAAGACGATTCTTTTGACGACAGCACAGCTACACGACCACTCGACTGCTTTTGTCGCTGCAGTCGAATTAAGCTAATTTCTATTTTTGTCAACCACAAAAACAGAAACAGTGTTGCTAATATAATAAAAAATTGAAGTGCTTAAAAAATATATTTTTTTTTACTTTATTGAGAGAAGTTCTTATAACCATATTGGAATTAATTAATAATAGGTATGTAAATTATTACAACATATATATTTTTACTCAAAATAATAGTTTAAATCTTAATTACTTTGAAATGTTATACGTTTATTTTTTATTAATGTAAAAACAAAAAACGATAAAGTGACACCACTGAATTATAAATTCATATCAACAAGAAACAGCTGTTTATTTATATTACTTGTAGCTGTAGTCTTTAAAATAATTCAGTAGCTACCACACGACTACAGCTGCAGCACAGCAGCATTTGTGTTCGTGTAGTCGTGTAGCCTGCTGTCTTCAATGTGTTCAATGCATTATTGAAAATACTATAAACAATCTTATGCAACGGAATAAAGAAAATGGAAGGTACCTTTTTTGAGATATGCTTGACTAATGGACGTTGTTTGATGTCATCATCCTTACGTTAAAACTGAAATATTTGAAATAAAATATTTTCAAACAACAAGACATCGGTTTTAATTAGGAACTAAAACGATTAACATCGGATAAGAAGTTTAGAAAATATACGATGTCAAATTTAATGCTTGTTGAAAAAAATCTTAAAAAATGTGAAGTTTTGATGAAATCTAAACCGTGATGAATTTGGAAATTCGAAATCGGAAAAACCTGTACGAAATAAAATGGCACAACTCAAAATAAAGAACTTACTTATAAATCTGATAATATGTAAGTCGTTATAAGAGTAATTTTAAGTAATGCAGACGGTAAGTAGTAGTCATTGAAAAGTAAGTGGTTATGCAAGTACAATCCCTTGCTCTAATGCAAAACTCAAAATAAAGTACTTACGTATCTGACTATATAGATTGAATAGTAAATGGTTATGAGAAATAATATTAGAAATCATTATATTTTATGTGGAAAATTATGTTCGCCAAAACTACCCGGTAGAATTTCATAATTGATATCTAAATGAAAAGTATTTATTAAGTCTATTTTCATCCGTTATTTAGATTTTATACCTCTTTTTACTCATTTTAATTTTGCTAGTTTTTATTGTACATACATATACAATAGAATCGTCCAAAAAATGTCGATTTTGCTCAGATGGGTCTTATTTATTAGTGTCTGAAACTGACTGGTGTTAAATTTTAGTCCAATCGAATAACGGGAACCCGTGCCGGAAATCGATCAAAAAGAGTAAAATTGGGTAAATATTAAGGACTTTTATTGATTTTTGATTTCTTCAAAAATTGTTCCACTAAAATTATATTTTCTTAACATTTCGATCAAATATTATCTTCTAGAGAAAATTGTCTATCCAATGAGGTATAAAACATTTATATCAACGGGCAAACAACTAAGTTATTTATAATTTCCTAAGCCAAATGTATATTAAAAATCATTAATTTTTTGCTTTTTGTCTTTGTTTTGCAAGCAGAAGTGATGTAGACGAAAATATCTACACAAAAAACGAGTAAAACATGAATTAATTAGTCGTTTCTGCTAAATATTTGTGAAAAGAAAATGCCTATAACTTTGTTATTTGTCGCTTGATATTAATACATATTTTATACCTTGTTGGAATGAAATGCTAACCCCCGTATTCATAAATATACTAATCGTTTATTTTAGGTTTATTACACACATTTTCCATACAAAATTCCTACAATAAACCATCAACAACTTTATTAAAAGTTTATAAATATGGGGGTAAGAATATATAATTTTAATTGCAAAATTTTTGAAGAAGTTAAAAAAAGTCTGGCACGGTATATACGGATAACGATATTAACTTTATTTAACACCAGTTAGTTTTAGATACTAATAAACAAACTAAGACCCATCTGAGCAAAATGAATATTTTTTGGACACCTCTAATGTACATTGGCATTGGACAAAATGATTTCAGTATTTTATTTGTCTGTTAATGTAGAATTTCATTGTATAGCTAAAATTCTAAATTTTATTTAATAAACTTTTTACCAACATTCTTATGGCCATATTCATAAATATAAAATTTTTTTATGAAAATGTTTTTAAACTGAGAGATTGCCAATAAAAATCGAACAAAACATACAATTTTGTATACGGTTACCGAAAATCAATATTTTCAGAAACAGGTTCACGAAAAACCGAAATAAAACTCTGATGAAACCGAAATAAAGTATAATCACCACTGATCGTGTTATGTTTTTATAGTCACAAGAAAATATGGGTGACTATTTCATTCGTTTTATACCACATCAAAATATTGGTCTTACACTCACAAAAGGTGTATGTGACCTAAATCCATTTATTGTGTCACCTTCGAAAACTTATTTTAAATTTATGACACACACATGACTCGGAATAGCCGAATATAACACTGACATTTGTTAAATATCTCTGGACTTTTGGCAAAAAACGTTTCAAATTTCTAGAAGGCATAGACTTACCCCTAGACAGAAATTGAGGGAATTGTTGTATTTCGAATAAGTGATTTTGTCAAGCGTCCACATATATTTATATTTAGCATGCTATTGAAAATAAAACGAATATTTATTTACTTACACTTTGGAATAGATGATGATTTAGCTTTAGACTCATTACTTTCATTACTATCAAAACTAGTTGAATCTGCAATCTCCGCAGGTACTTCTGTTATATCTGGCAAAGGATTATGACTGTTCCTAACCCAATCCGAACAATCCCAGTGGTACTGACCAAGAGATGAGTATTCTCCACCAAATGTTGATTGACAAACGTTGGGCATCGTAACTTGAATAAGTTTTCCACAGTTGGATTTTATTGATGTAAGACGATTTAATGGCAAATTGTGATAATCTATTGGCTTTCCTGTAAATATTTTGTTAGTTTTTAATAAATTGAGATTTAGAAGATTATTAAGCTTTCTACAATCCTGAGTGATATCAGTTAACACACAATTTTAAATAAATACTGCTAATATATTACATACATTTTAAAAATTGGAACAAGTCGGTTTTAGTGAAATTTCTCAAAAAAAAAAAAAAAAAAAAAAATAAAAATAAATAAATAAGAATAAAAAAGAATATAGAGCATTTTGAGAGAATAAAAATATATTTTTATATCGGCGACACCAACTTTCGAGTGGGCGTGGCTCCAAAGTTTAATAAATTTTTGACTATATTTTGTTTTGTTTACATTAAATAAAAGGCATTAAAAATACCTATCTAATGATATATAAAATATGGATCGACTTTTGGGTTTTCCCGAAATATATATTTTGACCCAACTTTTTCATCTAAAAGAAATCGGGAAAAATGTCTATATAATTCTATTTTAAATTCATATGTTAATAGCTTATGAATTAAGCTTTTATTTAAGGTATAAATAATTTCTGTATCTAATCAAATGCAAGAGATATTTGATTTCAAAAACCATCTATAATATATATATATATAAATATATATATATATTATATATAAAAATGAATGTGTGTTTGTATGTATGTATATATGTATATTTGTTTGGACTTTATAGACAGCTAAACGGCTGAACTGATTTTCTTGAAATTTTCACAGAGTCTTCCTGTATGTTTGGAAGGAACTATGGGCTACTTTTTATTTCAAAATTTCAAGTGGGAGAGTTGCCACGCCCACATACAAACTTAGTACTTAAAGTCGCATATCTCAGAAAGTACAACAGTTAGAGTCTTCAAATTTTGTATGGACATCTTTAACATCCATAAAAATATTTTCGGATAAAATGGGCGGAATGGCTATAGTCCATATATTAAATAAGTAAAGTACTGCTCAAAAATATAGCGCACCTTGTGTTAGGTTTTTATTCTTTTTGTATTATTACACTAAATTAAGTTAGAAAAACATGATTGATGGCAAATTCAAGAACGAAGTACAGTTTATGTAATAAGTATCAAAATTTGTGTAAGTCGGAAAAATAACGGTAATAGGGCTTTTATACAAAACTAACCATAAAAAACTGTTTCATAATTATAGCGCACTCTTTGAAATACGTTGAAACAATATTGAAAAATGTTAATTAATTTTGAAAAATTGCAACTAATTATCATGAAAGGACAGTTGTCTATGCTTATAAATGCAATTTAATTTGATGTGACAAATATTAAGCAGTTGTCTTTGGTTATTTTTGCTGAAATGTGTCTTGTAGTACTAGTAAATTACTTTATGTCAAAATATGCCCCTAATTGGTCAATAGTCCAATTTTTTTAATGAGAATTATATCTAGTGACATTAAAGATAACTTTGACATAAAATTTTAAAATTTTTTTCCCAGATAAACAACAGACTGACCCTCTAACATGGGTCACTTTTTGGCAGATTTAAGATTGTGATGATACAAATTGTAATAATTTTATCAAATTTCACCATAAAACCTTAAAAAACTTCCTTCTAATGTTTAATAATTATCTATGGAATAATAAGACATCATTACTATGATCTGAATATGCTTAATTCTATGCAAGCTAAACCTCACATGTAATATAAAAAAATTAAGAACCAATCCGCAATTATCGAATATCGTATTACATCGATTTGATAATAAATTTGTATATTAATTAAATAAAAATAATAGTTTTCGTTCGAATTGACCTCTATTTTCCATTTTTTTAAATTAAAATTTCCATTTACTGAAAATAAAATTCCCATTTATAAGAATTTTAAAAACATTTTTTGGTGGTGTTTCAGTTAGCACATGTGCATGTCTTAGCATCTTTTTTCTTGGCCTATTATCTTTTTTTAAGAATATGAAAATACTAGAGTCACTAAATTTTAACCTTTTGGAGAAAATATGATCACATTTTTGGGCCTATTTAAACATAGGCCTAGTTGAAATATTAAAAACGCTCAATGCTATCGCGCGAAATTCAGAAATTTTGGATCTATCAAGGAAATATTCTCATATAACATTGACCAAATTGTTATCAAATGTTTATAAATTATATTATTATTGATTAATTAACGATTCATGTCTTCAGAATTTAAAATCGCTGCATAAATTGATTGTAAAATGCTAAAAAATTAATCTGTTAAAAAAAACCCAAAATGTTAGCTACGCTTAGGCAACTAAATACCAACTGGGACTAAATGGGTCTTAAAATATAGGGGCAGAAGTATTTTATCATCCCGAGATCCAATATTGATAAACATTTCATTTAAGAATATTTTATTGCTAATTTGATTATAAATGCGCTATAATTTTGAATCAATAATTAAGGACTTGTTTCGTAAAATATTTTCTAGCGCAGTTATTTTGCTATTTTAAAATAAATTTTAATATTGTTTTAATAAAGTGGACTATATGCTTTAATTTACCGCCAAAATAAATTTATTACCTAAAGCTTTTTTAATGGTATAAAAAGAGAAAATAATAAACAAAAATGGGCTATATTTTTGAGCAGTGCTTTATATCTGAGAAAATATAACAGATAGAGTCCTCAAATTTTGCATGAACCACTTTAGTGTCAATATGATTATTTAAGGAAAAAGGGGGCGGACTAGAAGTAGGGGGCGTGGCACCTCCCATATGAATTAAATACAAAAATTCGCTTATCTGGGAAACTAATTGGCGGACTACCAATGGGGGGCGTTGCTTCTCCCATATGAATAAAATATACAAAAATTCGTTTATTTGGGAAACTTATAGAGCTAGCTTTATAAAATTTTGCACTAAGAACTTTAATATTTATCTGAACGTTTTGGGGAAAAAGGGCGTACTTTCATCAGGGGGGCTTGGAACCCCCATATGAATAAAATATAAAATTTCGTATATCTGAAAAACTATTAGAGCTAAAATCCTCAAATTTTCAGGAACAACTTTGATATCCATGTGGGTAATAAATTTTGGGTAATAAATTAGAGTTGACGTTTGTCTGGAAATCTTCAAATCTGTACGAAGAAATTTAACATTTATTTGAACATTTTGGGGAAAATGGGCGAACTTTCATTAGGGGCATTCAAAACTCCCATATTAATTAAATAGAAACAAGTTAGAGTGCTATATTCGGCTGAGCCGAATCTTAAATACCCTCCACCAGCTACTTTTATATTAATATTTTTCTAATTGATCAAATATTTGTAGAAATAAGTTTTCTCATGTCATAAATAGAAAAATCCCAAGATTTAAACAGCTTAAAGCTATTACAATTCCAAGATTTATTGAACATAACAAACGACATTTTCTTTTATATTTTTATAGCGCTTAACGATATTTAGTGATTTGCATGTATGTATGTGTGTGAAAGATTTAAGGATTTTTAAAATACATACATATATATATATATAATTTTGTTCTACACAAATTGATAATGCAAAGTTAAATATGGTTAAACCGCTTATAGGGGCAGTACATAGTATGGGAGATAAGATCAATTATAGACCGATCGTAAAAAATTCTTTAAGCTAAATTTCTGTACATAAAAGCTAAATTTCAATTTGTATCTATATCGTAATTTAGTAATGTTTTAGTGATTTTCTGAAGGGAACCTTGTATGGGACCGACCGCACCCATGTTATGAACCGATCGTGAAAAAATCTTGAAATAGAATTTTTGTATACAAAACTAATATTTGTGCCAAATTTTGTATCAATAGCTTTATTTGGTAATGAGTAATGCGCGTTTAAGGGATTTTCGTAAAAGGACCTATCGTAAAACAATTTTATAGTGTAATTTGTGTATACAAGAGTAATATTTTTGCTAAATATATGGATATCAAGATTTGGTAATGAGTTATGTGCGTTTAAGTGATTTTCGGGAGGGAACCTTGTATGGGAGCTATGACCAATTATGGACCGATCCAGAAAATTTTTTCTCTTAATGAATTCTATTAATATAAGATTTTAACTTGTAAAATTTTGTAAAACCCATTTTCCGGGAATATGTACTTTTGTATGGGAGGTATATGAAATTGTGGACAGCAGGGATCCAGCTCTTGTGTAGAAACGAATGTGTGGTGATTTTCATGGAATTGTCGTGCATAGTTTTTGAGAAAATTACATCAGAATGTGTAAAAAATGCTTATTTTTTTCGAAGTTGTTTCAAATTTTAATTCATAACTTTTCCCGGTGTGAACCGATTTTTCCCATTTTCAATACCAAACAACTTAGGAAAATGAAGAACATTTTGGGTGAATTTGGTTAAACTCTATTGCTTCGTTTTATCGTGAGCGCGTTTCACACAGACAGACGGACATGGCTAAATCGACTCAGAATTTGATAAGGACCCAGAATATATATACTTTGTTGGGTCTCAGATGAATATTTCTTGGTGTTACACACGGAATGACAAAGTTATATATATCCTCTATCACCACTGATGGTGGAAGGTATAAAAATCGTATGTATGGCTGGGAAACTATTAGAGCAAAAATCCTTTGACATTAATGTGAATATTATATTATTAACTAATATGCTTAAACAAACTGAAGTCAGCTTAAGCAACTGTGCGAACACATATAAAATGTATGTGATAAACTATAATGTATTTAAGATAGTTTCGTCAAATTTTATTTGCTTAAGCAAAGAGCGATACTGACAGCACATTACGTTCGGAATAAATTGTTTGTATATTATACATAAAGAAAAAATTAAAATTGTCCAGAAAATTAATTTTTTTCAATAAAATATTATGAAATATGTACTTTTTTTTATTACGTGTGGCACATAAATATGCAAACGGAGCTAAAATGTTTTGAATGCACGTAAGTACATTATAGCCACCTAAAAGTTTCCTTGGATTTTCTTAAGCATTTAAGAGAATTTTCGCTCGATTTTGTCATTAACTAGCTTGCTTATTCACATTATCGTTGGGCCTTTAGGACTTTCTTAAATTGTTTATATAAAAATAGCTAAAAGTCGAAATATTAAATTTTTTTTTCCAGATTTCACTCTTTTTTAGTATTTATTTTTTAATGAAAAATTTGACATCCTATATTTTTTGTAATATTTTTTCTGGACGTAGATGGCCTAAATAAAGAAACACATATAGGTTTTATACCTAGTGTGTTACAAGTAAATCTGATTTCTTCGAAATCTCATTTACTTTTTTATATTGTTTAATTTTGCATTACTGAATATATAAATGAATGTATTTTTGCTAATGTTGGGAATAACTTTGATTGAACTTACCATTGTTAAGTTTATTTTCACAAAACGTCTTAAGTTGCATTTGATCGCACCAGTATGTTTTATATGATGACGTAGCAACGTCTGATATGTTCTCGTTATTAATATTTACATTTTGATTATGTAAGTTTATTTTCTGATACTCAAAAGCTATATTTTCGAGTTCATCACCAGCAGACCCATAGCTTCTTAAAATGTCCAAATTATTAACGAAATGGGTATTTGTTGAAAACATATTATTATCTGTAGATGATTGAGTATAACTTATTGGTCGGTGGTTAACTTCTAGATTACTGAGCTTAGTATTCTGTTTATTATTCTTATCCTTCTGTAGGAGAGAATTCAATGTTGTTTCCTTATACGTATTTTTGATTCTATCGGGATTTTGTCTTATCGTTCTTGAGTAATTCTTTTTCAAAATTATGCAGAGTAGCATCAATATACAAAATATGAAAACAAATGTTACTCCGCATATTATGCCTGTAATATTTTCCATTGAAAAATTTCTAATTTTTGTAGAAATAGAATTTGAATACAACGGATCTCCGCAGCTAGCTCCTGTTAGATATGAGGGACAAATACATCGAAAACTACCAGCTTCGTTGATACAAGTTGCACCACTTCCACATGGATGATTTTCACATTCGTCCACATCAATTTCACACATTGTTCCAGTAAATCCCCTACACATACAATGTGGAATACCATCGCCTTCTTCACATATTCCTCCATTTTTGCATGGATTAGGTGAGCAAAATTTACCATATTCACATCTTCTGCCTGATAGATGACTTGGACAGATGCATGAATAATTATTAGGACCAAAATGTTCGCAATGACCACCATATAAACAGGGGGATGATGCACATGGATCTAAATCAACTTCGCACAATTTTCCAGAAAATCGCTCAGGACATACACATTTAAATTTATCACCGAGATCTTGACAAAAGCCTGCATTCAAACAGGGTTGACTGCTGCAAATACCCAAATTTATTAAAACTTTTGCGGGATCACAATGAAATTCAACGTTAGTAAATCGCTTTAAAGCAGCTACAGTACTACCTCCAGATATATATAGAGGTAACATTTCATTTCCTATCCTTAAATCGGTCATGCAGCCTATAAAACCCCTATGAATGTCTTCATATCCAATTATAGTATGATGTGGTTTAACTTCTGCTCCCACAAAAAAATCATTTGTTTGCAGATTTAATATAATGTTAACTCCAGGGGCACTGCCTTGAGAGAAGTGCTTACTATCAACGACCACCTTCGCAGTATTAAGAATACGCTCTAGTTTTATGGAGTGCCAGGCTCCGTCAGATATATTTACACTAGATACTACAACTAGACCTTCCCCAGAACCGAGATCAAATCTATATTGAAGAGCTCCATTTAAAATCTCGATTATATTGTAATCTATGGGACCACTTGCATAAACTAGAGTTCCAGATTGCTGTACAGTCCGCACATTTAACGAAAAAGAAAATTGACTTTCTACAATACTCCGAGCAACAGATTTATTTATTTTATAATGTGCGTAGCTTTTTCCACTAAATGAAACTGGTGTTTGTAAATTTGAACAAGTATTATTTAGACATTTCACAGCTTGAATTTCACAGTTCAAGCCTGAATAACCTGTAGGACATATACATTGATAACCGATTGCAGTATCGGCTGGCCAGCATTTTTTTTGCACAGTACATGGATCAGACGAACATGCGTTGATGGGCTCATCACAATTTTTCCCGTCAAAACCTTGCTTGCATAAACAGTTATTTATATATATGTATGTGGGTGAAACATAACTAACAACATCTGTATAGTATGTGTGTAAGTCGTTTTTCATTATACGCAGTTGTTTTTTGCATTCACCATGAACGCATGTACTTGATATACATTCATTTGGTACCAGCTCTTCTACCAAAAGATTTGAGTTATATTCAATTTCTTCAATTTTTTTTAAAATCTTATAACGTATTTCATCAGAAGAATAATAGCTTTCTGATGTTGGAACGATTTGTTGCTTCTGCACTGTAAAAACCACTTCTAAAACATTATAGGATCGTCGTCTTCTAGAACGATTGCTATTAAATAACATATTAGTTGTATTATTTTCATTTGCAAGAATCTGGTCGTGATTAAGAGCAATAATAATCACATCTTTTTGGCCACATCTCATTATTTCACGAATAGATCGTATAAAAGCTTTACGATGACTTAAAATGAAGTCTTTTGGGGTAACATTTCCAAATTTAATAATTATGGAGTTTTTAACCATTTCATTTGTAATAATTTCCACGTTTAAACGTACAATCGCATGAGAAATGAATTTTCCATCTGACACAGTAACGTTTATTTGATATAGACCAATATCAAGATTCTTTAGAGCAAAAAGCTCTCCAGTGTTCTGCGATATGTTGAATAATCTAAGGACAGAATATTCATACCCATGGGTTGGAGCAAGTTCGAATGTAAAAGTATCATATTTATCCAGATCTGAGACATATATTTTGCCAAGAAATCCTCCAGCAAAATCGTCATCATAAGAGTTAACTGTTATTTCTAAAGGTGTAATTACTGGTGGATACTGACTTTCTTCGATTATTTTGATTGAAATCCATGTATCAGAATATAGAGGTGGGGTGCCATTGTCGAAAACTCTAATTTGCAATACATATTCGTCACAAATGCGATGGTTAAATCGAGCGGCAGTTCTTAGGCTACCATCTTGTTCCAATCGAAAAAATCCACCCTCATTTCCACTCTTAAAGTCAAATGTAAATGGACTACTATTTGGGAACTCGTCAGCATCAGATAATTCAAACGTAATTATTATAAATCCCAAAGGCTTATTCTCTTGCAAAACTATGCTGTAATTTGAGTTTTTAAATAATGGTGGATTATCGTTTATGTCTAATACATCTATTAATACTTGAACATAACTGCACAATTGCGGAATTCCATTATCACATGCCCTTATCTCAAGAGTATATGATGATATTGTTTCTCGATCAAGGTCATTGTTAATATAGATTTCTCCCATAAATTCATCGATAGAAAACTGTTTTAATCTGTCTCCTCTTTCTATATGGTACATTACAATACCATTTTGTTCAGAGTCCTCATCAGTAGCAGTAATCTGGGCTATAATTTGTCCTTTTTTTGTATTTTCAGCCACACGTATACGATAAAGATTTTGTGTGAATTGTGGAAGATTGTCATTAATATCCAATATTGTGATGTTTACAAATGCTTGACTACTAAGTGGTGGCGTTCCTCCATCAATTGCCTGCACTGTCAAGAAAAACGATTTAGTTTTTTCATAATCAATTTCCAAATTTACTGAAATCACTCCTGTTTTAGAATCGATTTTAAACTTTTGTTGTTCATTTCCCCCAATAATATAATATAATATTTCAGCATTTATACCGATATCTTCAGATGTAGCGTGAACTTTTAAAACGACAGAATCTATTGCCGATTTCTCCGATAAAAATGTTTTATAATGCTTTAAATTAAATACTGGTGGATTATCGTTGATGTCCAATACATGTATGGTAAGATTTGCGATGGAATATAATTTAGGAGTTCCATAATCTTCTGCTTTTAGTGATATATTAAATATAGATGTATTTTCTCTGTCTAAAGATTTCGTTAATTTTATAATGCCATTAAAAGAAGTGATCTTAAAAAAATCATTTGCTTCCAAAAAAGAGTATGATAATTTTCTATTTAATCCAAAATCTTTATCAGTTGCATGAATTTTGGTTACAATTGTGTTAATTTGAGCATCTTCAGGTATACTAACGATATATTGTTTCATTGAAAATTCTGGTTTGTTATCATTTACATCACTGACAGCAATAATAACTTCGCTAACACACTCCTTTAATAATTCTTTTCCATCTTGAACATGAACGAGCAAAATATACATTGAATGCTTTTCACGATCTAATTGTTTAGCAATTTTTAGTTCACCAGAATCTTTGTCAATGTAAAAATCGTCTGAAAAGTTACCCGTTAAATAGTATCTCATTTTGTTGTTGGGATTAATATCGAGATCTATTGCACTTATTTCAACTAAGGTTGTACCCACAGGTGTCGATTCATTGACAATAATATTGTATCTCGGTTTCAAGCATATTGGAAAATTATCATTTTCATCATTAATGCTAATAAATATATAAGCATACGAAATAAATTTTCCATCGGTTACAGCAACACTGAGATTATAATTTTCTATAAATTCGCGATCAAGTTTCTTCGAAACAAATAATTCTCCGCTGTTTGAGATTTGAAACTGAGAGTAATTGTCACCAGATACTATAAAGAAATCTAAATGGCTTTTTTGCGAATCCAAGTCTGTTACTAAAAGTCGTGATAAAACAGTTCCAGGTATAACATTTTCCGATACAAATAGATCCTGATGCTTTTGTTTAAATATGGAGGGGTTGTCATTACAGTCCAATACAGTTATAGATACAGGAGCTTTAGATATTTGTTTAGGCTGACCATTGTCGCTTGCTAAAACATTGAAATAATATTCTGACTGCGACTCTCTGTCTAAGGTTGAAAGCAATGTTATCCATCCAGAATAAATATCGATTTCAAATATTTTTGAATATGTATCATCTTCTAAGTAATATCGTACATCACCATTAGGTCCCTCATCTGCATCCACACATGTTACTTTAATAACAGACGAACCCTTTTCAGCATTTTCCGGAATTTCAACATTGTATACTATATTTGAGAATTTTGGAAAATTATCGTTTTCATCCTGGACATTAAAAAATATATCGATATACGCATACAACGGAGGAACTGTTGCAGTTTCTGACATTGCAATGATGTGTTCCACACTAGACACTTCCCTATCTAACAACTGCATTAACATAACATCTCCATTTTCAGTTATAGAGAATTTTGGTGAGTACGATACTAACGAAATTTTTACTGAAAAATTGCCATTTACTTTTAATTTTGCTAGTATTGAGCCCGGCGAATAAGACTCTTCGACATTAATGTTCAATACAGCCTTTTCAAATGAGGGAATTGTTATATTTGAATACACAACTTGTAATGATACCGGTAAAACATTACTCAATTGTTTATCACCATTATCAGTCGCTTTAACGAAAAATTCTATTAATTCATTGGAAAAGTTTTGTAAGGACTTTGTTATACGTAGATCTCCTTCATTGCCTAGTGACAAATATTCCATATACATAGGATTTAATGTTGAATTTTCCATTGTATAATTTAAGATGCTGTTATTATTTTCATCCATATCCATCGCTGTAATCTACAAAAAATAAAAATATAATAAATTTATTTACTCTTAAATGTAGGTATGTATAATTAACATGGTTTTATAAAAAAAAAATTATCTATATTACGTGATCGATATGTATGTGTGTGTTTATATACTTAGGATCATGAGGACTATTCCTGTTTGTTCGACAGATGGTGTCGTAGTTTGAATTTAATAAATTACATAAATCGTTAAACTGTTAATTTTAAAGCTTGAAGGGTATTCAAAAGATTAACTGTAGATCGGTTATTCGATCAATTGTTGTCTATTAAGGAGTAAGTTGACATGTATTTCAAATCAGTACATATGGATTAAAATTTCCAAATATTTTTATATTTTTTTCATTCAATATTTTGTTATTTTTTTGGAATACATGTTTGTTACATTATTTTAACAAATTAAGTAATATTTTTTTTTTTTTAACTGATTATGATGAATACCCGATTTGTAATTCGTAGCTAATTAAAACTGAATTACGTACAGCTTGTGTAATTGGCAGATGAATTTTGTATGGCGAATCATGTAATTCAGTTCGTAATTGGGGGTTGAATGAAGAATGAGAGCGTAAATGACGAATAATTGCATTGTGGGGTATAAGAAGTGAGTCGTTTTAAATATATTTTACTGTTGTACCCTGGGCGCTTCGCCACCCAATGAAAAATAAATACCAAAAATCTCCCTTTTATAAATTCTCATTTTATAAGAACCGTGTGTCATTTGTTTCGGTTCACCACTATGTAACTTCCAAAGAGTTTCCTCTTACAGATTCTTATTCAGTCAGGACCATGCATGTTCAATATTATAGTACCATTTAAAGGACGAAAAAGTACCAAACAGTTTTCTATTAAAGAATCACATTCAGTGTTTGTTCAAAAATCTTGTTTTGGCTTAATATTATAGAATATACAAAAAGTACCATTTGAAGAAGGAAAAAGTACCAAAAATTCACCACTGATGGATTCTGATTTAGTCATGTTAAATTCGAAGAAAATACAAAAGGTACGATGAACGTAAAAGTACCAAAGATGCTCCTCTTTCTTATTCAATCAGGACCACGTAGATTAAATATTTTTGTTTCTCTAAACATAAAAAATACGATTAGAACGATGAAATAGTGGATTAAATTATTTTTTTTTTAAATTTCTTTTCTAGAATTAGGTTGACAAAATACGCTGTGTTTAAATCTATATGTATGTATATCACAGATAAAACTCAAACGATACAAATCTGCATTTATTTGTTCAAGAAAAAAAAAAACAATTTTACCCGTTTTCCGCTTCTTTACCCCCAAATATACAAATTTAAAAAAATCCCTCCTTACTGGATCAGCCGTTTGGGCTGTGCGATGATAAATCAGTCAGTCACTAACGCGACTCTTTTATATACGTATGTATGTACATACATATATAGATAAATAATACAAGTTACGTTCAAGTTTATTACCAAGCAATATCTTAGAATTTTCATAATTAACATGAATGAAAACAAATTAACTGATTTACGATACTATTTTCGTTATTTTATATTATAATATACATATGTACATAATTATGTGTTATTCATAACGTATGTATGTAAGTATGTATGTATGTATGTATGTATGTATGTATGTATGTATGTATGTATGTATGTATGTATGTATGTATGTATGTATGTATGTATGTATGTATGTATGTATGTATGTATGTATGTATGTATGTATGTATGTATGTATGTATGTATGTATGTATGTATGTATGTATGTATGTATGTATGTATGTATGTATGTATGTATGTATGTATGTATGTATGTATGTATGTATGTATGTATGTATGTATGTATGTATGTATGTATGTATGTATGTATGTATGTATGTATGTATGTATGTATGTATGTATGTATGTATGTATGTATGTATGTATGTATGTATGTATGTATGTATGTCTGTATGTATGTATGTATGTATGTTGTATGTATGTATGTATGTCTGTAGTATGTATGTGTCTTGTATGTATGTATGTATTGATGTATGTATGTATGTAGTATGTATGTATGTATGTATGTATGTATGTATGGTATGTAGTATGTATGTATGTATGTATAAATATGTTTTAATGGATATGTATTATATGTGGAAAAATAAATTAAACATAATACGTACCTTAGCAATGACAGAATTTACTTTAACATCATGTTTTACTATAATTTTCAAATCTTTCAGCAAAAAGTATGGAGCATTATCATTGACGTCTACAACTTTGACCTTTACCAAAGTAAATCCAAATTTTTCCTCCTCCGTTCAGAAGCTTTAACAATAACATCATAGGTTGATTTTTGTTCCCTGTTTAAGGAATCTTTTGTGTATAAAGAACCAGTGTTTCTATCCCACCGTAAATATGGAATTCATGTCATCTCCAATTATTTCATAAGTTAAAGTTGCATATGTTCCGAAATCATTATCTATTGCTTTAACCTACAAATATTTTAAAAGATAAAAAAATATAAAGAAATAATTTAATACTAGTTTTTTTACCCCGCATTGCCAGGGATTTTAATATTTATTTCATAATATTGAGTCTATAGATCAATGTATGCAAATGAACATTCTCTTTCCCTTTTACTCTGAATTGTTGAATTTCGACATACTAAGATAGATATTCCAAATATACATTTATGTAATAGCATAAAATTACACACATTTCATTGATTTACAACAACTTGCTCAATTTACCGAAAAAGTAGCAAACGCAAAAATACTGTATAAATAAATTTTTTATCATATTATAAAGTTACAACTCAAATTTATTTGTTTTAGCACAACTGAAACAAAAATCATCAAATGGTAAACTTTCTGTATAGTTTAGTTTGAGTTTTTGAAAGCAGACAGTGTCGGCCAAAACATATTGTATAAAAATTACATGTTACATGTAGTAGCGAGCACAAAAATTGCAACGCGGGGTCATATGATCTTTGATTTTGTCTGTTTCGAAACAACGGTAATCAATCCATCTCCTCTTTTTGCTGTTCATTCTCTTAACTCAGAGCTTCCAAATAAGCGACATTTTATTTAAATTTCTATTAAGCAAGTGAAATATTTTATATTTGCTGAAAAAAGTGAACATTTTTCGCGAGCACAGTAAATTTATGATTTTTATTGCGTTTTGAATGAAATTTTCTTGAAGAAATTATATAATACGAATATTATAATAGTAGTAATTATTATCTAATCAAAGAATAACTATTATTCAAACTCTATAGGATAAGAATTCATGCTTGAAATTGGTTCGTTTTTTTGAGTGAAAAAGATGTCAGCGGACGTTGCTAGTTTCACAAAGGAGCATATGGGTGACTCTATTGGAGTTCAAATTGCCCGCAGAAGGTTTAACAAAGTATAATTTGCTTGGAAAAATCCCAGATTAGTAGAGTCAATAAAAAGTACCGCGTTGAGTTTGAGAAATGTGTTAAGCATTGGTCAGGTGGTGCTGTAAATGCTTGACATGTAATCAGTGATTTCATTGCGAAAATCTCGCTTCTTGCACCACTTCAAAATGGATTTTTCGACATATGTGACTATTAGACGAATATATTGTCTTTGTCTAGGCCATCTAGTAAGAAATTTAAGGTATCGGAGCCAAATAAATTTTATTTGCACACGTCGTCACATAAGACCTTAACCCGCTGTTCACTTGACCAATGCTGATACGTTTCGCAAAATAACGGGGCTTGTTTTTCTTGACTCTACTGACGAGTGGTTCCTTAGTAAAACGTTTTCCAAGCAAATTACACTTTATTAAAACTTCCACGAGCAATGTGAACTCCAATAGAGTCACCCATATGCTCCTTTGTAAAACTAGCAACGCCCACTATCTTCTTTCTTGAGCCGATTTTGAACAATTTAATCACCTGACGGTCTTTAAAAGTGGAAGTTTTCCATAGACAACCACTATCTGTTCCCTTTCCATGCTTTTTCTCAAGTGAAATCGTGATTCATATCGATTTACGCCAAATTTTTCACTCAAAAGAACGAACCTATTTCAAGCATGGATTCTTATCCTCTAGAGCTTTAATAATAGTTCTTTTTTTGATTAGATAATAACTGCTACTACTATAATGATCGTATTGTATAATTTCTTCAAAAAACTTTCATTCAAAACGCAATAAAAACCATAAATTTACTGTTATTTCATTGCGTTGCATTTTTTGTGCTCGCGAAAAAAGTTCACTTTTTTCAGCAAATATAAAATATTTCACTTTGCGTAATAGAAATTGAAACAAAATTTCGCTTGTTTGGAAGTTAAGAGAATAAACAGCAAAAAGAAGAGATGGATTCATTACCGTTATTTCGAAACAGACGAAATCGAAGATCATATCGTCACGCGTTGCATTTTTTGTGCTCGCTACTGTATTTATGGTATAAAAATAAATAAATATGATAAAAACGAGTTTCCATTATAAAATTTTATGTTATCCATGTTATTTTTTGAAAAAAATGTTACTTTCAATTTATAAATATGATAAAAAAGCGTTGCCATTATAAAATTTAGAATTCGACTTCTTTATATTTTTCTTTATAAAAGAGAACATATTTGTTTTATTCCATAAATATGTAGCATGTAATTTTTGTCCAATATGTTTTGACCGACACTGTATATTACATTCAAAATAAAGACGTAGAACAAAGAAAATAAAAAATTCTCATTCTTAAATGTCGAAAAGTACCTCTAAATTCATAATTTTTCCCTACCTCAGTATAATTTTTGAAAAATATATTAGATTTTTTCGAAATTGGTCTTAAAAATACCGAAATTATGGGGTGAATAGGGGAAAAATAATTTTAAAATTTTTGTAGAATATATTTGTTTTCCCACGATAATCTCAATACTACGGAACTTTCGTGACCCAATTGGAAAAGATATGTCTGCAATCTTTTTTTAACATGTTGTACTGAGATCATGATTTTCAATCGCAGGGAACTAGGGACCTTTTCAAAAAAAATGTTTTTTATTTTTCTCGTATTTAGAATATTGAAATGCTTCGTTTTAGGGGTATTCATCCTAAAAAGTGGTCCACGGGACACCCTAATGTACATTAGGCTCCACAATTGAAGTTGCCGATGTTCCCACCGAAAATGAAAATTTAGCTCGTTCTAATATACCAATTTTCAAATTTTTTGTACTGACGCACAGTGGTATAGGAAAAAAAAAAGAGGGAAATAATTCGGTAACTTCTAAACGGTTAATCCGATTTTAATGAAATTTGGTATGCACAAAGAGGAGGTGTTGTCGAGTTTAGGTTTTGAATTTGGACCTTATAGGCCAACCAGGGGCCCGGCGGGGGGTCCTCAAATTAGGACACCTCGGCTATGTTAAATTTTTAAAACGATCCTATTTCTTCATTTGAGTTCCGATTTAAAAAAAATTTCGTCGAGCACTATAAAAAATGTCGTCGTAGCAGTAAATTATCTCTTATAGTTTAGGAGATATTCGCATTTGAATATTAAAATTTTAAAATTTTTACCGTCCTTACTTTAGTTTTTTTGATAATAGCAGGTCCAAATATTTCCGATTTTCGCCATTTTTTTTTATTTGCTTAACAACAAGTTTATATACCAAGCAGTGAAAGAATTATGTAAAAATCATGACTGAGTCCAAAGTTATAGGCATTTAAATTTAAAAAATTAAAAAAAGGCGATTTTTTGTCATTTTTTTGGGAAAAAAGTATCTTTTTCTTTTTAAGTTATCTAAAAAGTTTCTAAGAAGATGTATATAGAATTTATACTTTTTGGAAAGCTGACTTTACATAAAATACGATAAATGAAACAAAACCTAAAAATTTTTGATACCGAGGGGACCAGGTCCATCCAAAAAAACCCTATTTTTTATGGAAAATTAAATTTTGAGCAAAAATTCTCAAATCGCATAGTCGATATCAAATTATAGTGACCTGTTTTATATGACCCAATAAGTTCTTAATCATTTTGTAACGGGTTTCGATAACCCCGCCCCTGGTATGGATATAATAGGCAAAAAACCAAAAAATCCCATTTTTGGGATTTTTTAAAACTTTTTTGGGAATTCCGGGATTTCTAATAAGAAAATTCGAAATTTTTATTTAATTTTGGATTTTGAGTAAAAAAATCTACCTAACTGTAAAATTTCATCAAAAAATATTCATAAATAAAATTTTTATTGCAATTTGAAAAATTTGTATCTTCGCAAAAACTGAATAAAAAACATTTTTTAATTTTTTTTAAAAAAAGTATTCCGCGAATTTTTTAATTTTCAAAAATTATATACAGTTTTGAAAAATAGACAAAATTACCTTTCCATTGATATATAACATGCCTACCTAATGTTTTTTAAGTGACAAATTAATTAGGGAAAACTCAACATCTTTTAGAAAATTTACCTAGCACTATTATTTTCATCCATATATGTAACAAATTTAAGAGTTAACCTTATGGATGAAAATAATAGTGCTAGGCAAATTTTCTAAAAGATGTTGAGTTTTCCCTAATTAATTTGTCACTTAAAAAACATTAGGTAGGCATGTTATATATCAATGGAAAGGTAATTTTGTCTATTTTTCAAAACTGTATATAATTTTTGAAAATTAAAAAATTCGCGGAATACTTTTTTTAAAAAAAATTAAAAAATGTTTTTTATTCAGTTTTTGCGAAGATACAAATTTTTCTAATTGCAATAAAAATTTTATTTATGAATATTTTTTGATGAAATTTTACAGTTAGGTAGATTTTTTTACTTAAAATCCAAAATTAAATCAAAATTTCGAATTTTCTTATTAGAAATCCCGGAATTCCCAAAAAAGTTTTAAAAAATCCCAAAAATGGGATTTTTTAGTTTTTTGCCTATTATATCCATACCAGGGGCGGGGTTATCGAAACCCGTTACAAAATGATTAAGAACTTATTGGGTCATATAAAACAGGTCACTATAATTTGATATCGACTATGCGATTTGAGAATTTTTGCTCAAAATTTAATTTTCCATAAAAAATAGGGTTTTTTTGGATGGACCTGGTCCCCTCGGTATCAAAAATTTTTAGGTTTTGTTTCATTTATCGTACTTTATGTAAAGTCAGCTTTCCAAAAAGTATAAATTCTATATACATCTTCTTAGAAACTTTTTAGATAACTTAAAAAGAAAAAGATACTTTTTTCCCAAAAAAATGACAAAAAATCGCCTTTTTTTAATTTTTTAAATTAAAATGCCTATAACTTTGGACTCAGTCATGATTTTTACATAATTCTTTCACTGCTTGATATATAAACTTGTTGTTAAGCGAATAAAAAAAAATGGCGAAAATCGGGAATATTTGGACCTGCTATTATCAAAAAAAACTAAAGTAAGGACGGTAAAAATTTTAATTTTCAAATGCGAATATCTCCTAAACTATAAGAGATAATTTACTGCTATGACAACATTTTTTATAGTGCTCGATGAGGAGATTCTATATACGAAATTTTTTTTAAATCGGAACTCAAATGAAGAAATAGGATCGTTTTAAAAATTTAACATAGCCGAGGTGTCCTAATTTGATGACCCCCCGCCGGGCCCCTGGTTGGCCTATAAGGTCCAAATTCAAAACCTAAACTCGACAACACCTCCTCTTTGTGCACACCAAATTTCATTAAAATCGGATTAACCGTTTAGAAGTTACCGAATTATTTCCCTCTTTTTTTTTTCCTATACCACTGTGTGACGTCAATATTTGGTAAGCTGGATCAAAGGATAAAAAGGTCCTTTTTAAGATTTTGTCATATTTCTGGCAAATAAACTATATGCAAATTTGGTGTCATATGTAAGCTCTTTGAGAGACATAACACAATTTTGTTTACGACTCATAAATTATTACAAATGTTGTTATTTTTCGGAAAATTTTTAGATTTTTAAAATTTTTACATATAATTATTTAATGAGATTAATTGAAATTATTACATTATAAACCTTATATTATTTCACCGAAACGGTTTTTTTTCAGTTTTTCGAAATTCGATACGTTTTGTATTTTATTTAAACATTTTATTTTCCCCTCGGTATAGCTATATTTATCTAACATCAAAAAAAGTGTGAAAAAAGATGTAGTATTTTCATCACAACTAGTAACCCGAAGTGCTTCAAATTCGGGTGAAAAACCTATGAATTTTACATTAGCTTGTCATTGGAGGGATGTTGTTAATTTTTGAAAACATCGAACTACATCTAATCTAATCCAATATTTGGATACAAAAATAAACCCCATTCATTCAATGACACGCTTATGTAAATTTCATTGGTTTTTAATCTGAATTTGATGTACTTCGAATATGTTATTTGTAGTGACTTTTCTATAACTCTTTCCTCACTTTTAACTGGGTTTTCATTTGTAAGGAAATACTTGGTTTATAAAAGCGAAAAATATGTAATCGTATTTTTAGATGTGATTAAGATGTTGTTTGTAAAGTATGACATCAATTATTTTTTGCTAGGAATTTATTATAGAAATCTACACGTTTGTAAAAGCTGTGATACACGGTTGTCAGATCTTACAACGTTGTCAGTAAAATGTGCAGAAAATGTCTAACAATCGTTTGAACTTACAATTTTTCTTTTGGAACGTTGTCATTAAAAGCATTACTGACAATGTTGCAAGACGAAATTTGTAAGTTGACAGACACTGTCGTTAGACATTTTCTGCACATTTTACTGCCAACGTTGTAAGATCTAACAACCGTGTATACATAGATTTAGCAACGAATATCGTATTTTTATGTAAAAAGTAGTGATTAGTGATGCAATGATTAGAATATAGGCCAGCAGTGTAAGGATCCAGGTACAAACCTAGCTTGCTTGGAGAGTTTTTATCTCCCTTTTTGACCTATTTTACGCTTGGTATAAGAAATTATGGTCCTATTTTTCACATACCTGATCAAACATTGTATATAAAACCATTTACATATATACCAGAATTCATTCATTTATCTGCAGGGGATTTTGTAACAAATACAAAAAAAAACAGTTGAGTTTAGCAAAATCGATATTTTTGGACACCTCTAATATACATATGTATATGTCGGTCATTTCCGAACGCACTTTCTTAACCCTTTTTATATGTTTAAGTGTTTGTTTCATATATTTGCAAAACATATTATTTATACATCACTGCACAGCAAAAAAACTGAGGTAAAAAATGTAGAATTTTCACCACAAATAACATCCCAGGAAAAACTTACATTGAAAAGTAATGAGTTAATAAGCTATTGAAACCTCTTTTCACTACTTCTTAATTAACATTTTAACTCATTATTTTAACACGGTGATGCCATTGGAGGCAAGTACTTATACATCAGATTAAAAGCATGTCATTACTAGAGTACTTCTAAGTAATGCAGACGGTAGTTAGTAGTCATTGAAAAGTAAGTGGTTATGTAAGTACAACCCAAAATTTTAAGTGCTTCGATTATGCTATTTGTAGTGACTTTTCTACAACCTTTTCTCAATTTTAAATAGGTTTTAATTGTAAGGAAATGTTTGTTTATAAAATCAAAAAATATTTAATCGCATTCTTAGTTGTGGTTAAGATGTCGTTTGAAAATTATGACATCTATTATTTTTTGCTGGATTAAAAATACTTCGAGTGAAAAAGGGTATAGGTTATTGTATTTATGATTAATAAAATCAAGTTTTGAACATTTTTTCTCTTACTCTTACATTCAAACTATGTCAAATTATGTTCATATATATTAAATTTTCCTGTAGATTTTGTATAAAGTCAGATTTTAAATGTATTCAGCAGTTTTTATCTTTAAAAAATGTAGCCCAAAATTACTTTTTATAAAAAATAAACCTTTCAAATATTCGACAAAAAAAAAAGAATACCTTTGAGACGGCATTTTACAATAATAATTAGGGAGTTGCGAATGCCAGTTTAGCGAATGCGAATAATAATTTTTATTTTTGCGAATGCAAATGCAAATAGTATAATTGAAGTAAATTTTAATACACAGGTGTGAATGACAAAAATTCATTATTTATTTCGATGAAAAATCGAGTTGTAACGACATGTCTACTTCATAATATACAACTAAAATTTTAATTTTCATTCAATAAAACTGTTTACATCTAAATTATCTTAAAGTTTTCTAGGAAATAGTGTTCGCTAAAACATTCGCTGAGATTTTGCGAATGCAAAAGCGAATGTGAATGAAAAAATGTAAGCGAATAATTCGCATATGCGAGCATTCGCATAATAATTAAAATAATCGCAATTTTTAATATTTATAAACAAAAACTTACTTTTACGATAAATTTATCCTGGTCATCGTTCTCATAAACATGAGCTTCATAAAATTGGTTTTCAAAAACTGGGCTGTGGAGATTTTCAGCCAACAGATTAATTTTTACTCTGGCAAAACTAGTATGTAGTCCATCGGTAACAGAAATATTTAGTATAGTTTGTTTATGGTTTTGGAGTCTCTGATTATTTTGCAAGCTAATGAGACCAGTAGTTTCTTCAATGGAATAAAGTTGGTGTTCATTGCCGTCAACAATTTTGTAAATTAGTTTATTGATATCACAATCATCGGCATCATATGCTTTTGCTATAGTAACAAATTGTCCCCTTTTTGCAGATATTGATAATTTACTGGAAAATGAAGGTTCAATAAACTTTGGCCCATTATCATTTAAATCTTCAACTGAAAAAATATGAAATAAAATATAGTAATTTGATTAATTAAATTTTTAATAGTTTGAGAATTGAAATCAATTTACATCATAATGAGTATATTATTCCACAAAATACGTTGAAACAAGTTATCATTTCCCATATGAGTATTCCGGCTTTGGGAAAATCCGCGTGAAAGCGGACAGTAGTCAGATTTACTATCTTAAATTTTAACAAAATTTTCCACAGTGACTTTTTAATATCATTCCAATTTAAAAATATTGCAATTTTAGAATATGTTAAAATTTTCTAAAAGTATACTTTTGGAAAAACTTACATTGAAAAATAATGAGTTAAAAAGCTAATAAAACCTCTTTTCCCTACTTCTTCATTAGCATTTTAACTCATTACACAGTGAGACAAAATAAACGAAAATTGAAATACCTGGGAAGTGATACTATTTTTCTGAAAGGTGGATTCGATTAGAACAAGAATATATTTTGAAATTTGCCAAACACCTCCAAAATCTGGAGTTACGTTTTTCGTACCTTTAAGCACTTATAAGTCAGTAACATAGTTGAATCTGAACCGATTTTAAGTTTAAGTAAAACATCTCCAAACTTGAACAACGATGCAAAACTAAAATAAGAAATATGTTTGCTGGTGAAACTCACACATAAAATGGGGGACTTCGGGTTTTTAATCAAATGTTCTACTCACTGGAGCACTGCTTAGCTATCTTATTGCGCATACAAATTTAATTTTGTTTCTTTTTTGTAAAACACAAATTCGTAACACGCAATTAAATAAAATGTCCAAACAAAATGACAAAGCCAAAAATAAAGTACTTCTATATCAGATTAAAATAAAGTCATTAATAGAGTACTTCAAAGTCATGCAGACAGTAAGTGGTACCCATTGAAAAGTAAGTGGTTATGTACACTTACATTGCCGAGTTTATGCTGGGTATATATGTATGACCGCACGGTGGTTCCCATACGACAAAAATAATAATGATACTCAAAAATTAATCTTTCAAAAGATCAGCATTCAACAAGTAATAGTGCTATATTCGGCTCTGCTGAATCTTATATACCCTTCACCACAGTGTATTTAAAAAATATCAATTCTATAAAATTTTAATTTATTTCGTTTTCCCGTTTATATCATTATTACGTCAATAGCAAAACGAACAACAACAGCGCTAAACGAAGTAAACCCACAAAAAAACAGAATACACAAGGCAGTAAAACCAACAGACATCCAAACCAGAGTTGGGGGTAGTGCATTAAATATTTAGTGCACTAAGTGACGAAATTTTGATTTTCCACTATTTTTTATCACTATAGTGTTAGTGAAACATATTTTAACTACCATTAAAAAAATTAGTGGTAGTGAAACATATTTTAACTACCACTAAAAAAAATAGTGGTAGTGAAAATTTTGTACATGAATGCTAAAATCTCAAAAAATAGTGTTTGTAAAAATAATCCAAACAAATTGAAAATACATATGTACATATGTATGTATGTTCAAAATATTTCTATTTTATTATTTTTTATTGTATTAAAGAAAAATCATATACATACATACATATTTATGGTTTTTAGAAAATGAATTCGTTCGTAATAAATGAAAGAAAATGTCAAAAATATACGATAGATAAAGGCCTTAAAAACAACGAAAATAATACCAAAATACGAAATAAAATGTGGCCTCTTGATCCCGGATGCAATTTGAATGACAAACCTTTTAATTTCTTGTCACTTTGCGTACAATTTTTATGTTGTTTTTCAAAATATATTTTTTCATAAATTTATTTTTTTTTTTTTGAGTTCCATTAACATTAGTGAATGATTATATTTTTCCAATATCCTGTTAGTGGAGAAAAAAAATTTGCACTAAGCTGTAAAAAAAGGGTTTTCACTATCACTAAATTAATTTTAGTGAAAAACTTTCTTGTACCACTACCAGTGAGGCTGTAATTTTTCAACTCACCACTAAATATCTATTAGTGATAGTGAAAAATTTTGCACTTTCACTAACATTTAGTGGAAACTGCAAATTTAGTGCACTTCCCCCAACTCTGATCCAAACATACGAAACGAAATACACAAAAAAACTAAAACAAAATACACAACGCAATGAAACCAAACATATGAAACTGAATACACCAAAAAACAAAAACAATATACACAAGGCAATGAAACATGCGAAACGAAAAACTCAAAAAAAACAAGTAAGAGTATTCGGCTGTGCCGAATCTTATATACCCTTCACCATGATGTGTTAAAAAACAGTCAGTACGAATTTTATTGCAAAAAAATCAAAAAATACCAATTGTGTCCCATTTTATACGTTCTAACTTAATCCGTGCTCTTCATGCTTAATTTCATATTTCTAGGTTCAATATTATAGAAATTTCAAAAAGTACCTTTTGTAAAACGAAAAAGTACCAAAAAGTCCCCTTTTATCTGTTCTGACCTAATTTGGGCTCAACATACTTAATTTCATGTTTCTAGGTTCAATATTATAAAAAATTAAAAAAGTACCTTTTGTAGAACGAAAAAGTACCAAAAAGTCCCCTTTTATAGGTTCTTACCTAGTCAAGGCCCTACATGCTAAATTTCATGTTTCTAGGTTCAATATTATAGAAAATTCAAAAAGTACCTTTTGTAGAATGAAAAAGTACCAAAAAGTCCCCTTTTTGTGCTCTGGCCTAATCCGGGCTCTACATATTTAATACCATGTTTCTAGGTTCAATATTATAGAAAATTCAAAGAGTAACTTTTGTATAACGAAAAAGTACCAAAAAATCCCTTTTTATAGGTTCTTACTTAGTCAAGGTCCTACATGCTAAATTTCATGTTTCTAGGTTCAATATTATAGAAAATTCAAAAAGTACCTTTTGTAGAACGAAAAAGTACGAAAAAGTGCCCTTTAATGTGTTCTCGCCTAATCCGGGCTCTACATATTTAATTTCATGTTTCTACCCAATAACAACGTAACGTGATGTTCATTCTTTGCTTTGTGTTTATAAACAAGAATTACAATAACAAATAACAAAAAAAATTTAATTTGTATATTGTTTTGTATAAGCATGCACGAAAAAAGTAAATTTTTGATGAAATTTTCAGAGGTGGTCTCGGATTTTTACTCATATCTTCGTTATTTATGGGCCGATTGGGCTGATTTTAAATAGCGTTCTATTCGACCGTATTTCCGATAGAATTATTGAAAATTCGGATCTCGCAGATATCTGGGGTCTTCTGAAAACTGATTTCAACATACACACAGACAGACGGACATGGCTAAATCGACTCCGCTATCTATAAGGATCCAGAATATATATACTTTATAGGGTCGGAAAATTATATTATAGAAATTACAAACGGAATGACAAACTTATATATACCCTTCTCACGAAGGTGAAGGGTATAAAAAGCAAAAACAAAATACTCAACGCAATGAAACCAACAGACATCCAAACATACGAAACTGAAACAATATACACAAGGCAATGAAACACACAGCCATCCAAACATATCGAGCCCTTTTTGCAAAATGGACGTAAGCGACTTGATTTTCGATTTTCGTTTTTTTATAGAAATCGATAATTTAGGTCTATTAGCATCATCTCTGAAAATTTCGTAGCTATAGATCCAATGGTTTCAACTTTACAAGAAAAAGAAAAAAGACGTAAGTACACATTTATTTTCTGTTTATGAATTTTGTAACAGCAAGGTGTCGGTTACGTTTAATTTTCTTTTAAAATATATTAAATTTATAGAAAATGTTTGAACAAATTAACGTATTACATTTGTTTGTGAATGAAAATGCCACATACAGTGGCGAGCAAAACTGGATATATGTTTAGCTAATAAGACTTAAAAATGCTATAAAACCCATAAAATAAAGGAAAAATAATAAATTTAAAATATTCAGTAAAACAATATAAAAAGAAAACAAAATTAAATTCATGATAATTAAATATTAATCTAAAGATTGAAACATATTTATAAATAAAGTCGAAGTATCCAGTTTTGCACGTTTTAAAAAAATTTTGATTTTTAATATTTTGTGCAAAGTCCTTTTGCTTTTATGACACTTTTTATACGTTTAGGCGTACTTTTGACCAAGGTCTCAATGGTCCGGTGCGGAATACTAGACCACTCCGTTTGTATTCTCGACCAAAGTTCTTTAAGATTTCTTGGCGCATTATCGAATTGCGCAAGACGTTTTTTTAACAAAGCCCATAAATTTTCGTTTGAAAATTCTGCGCTGAAAGCCAATTCTTTACGATTTTTGCCGTATGCTTCGGATCCCCATCCTGTTGGAGTATAACCTCTGACTCTGGATATGCACATTCTTCCACAAAATCTGGAATATTGGATTGAAAATGCTCAAATAATCCTCCTTTTTCATTATAGCATCTAATTTTACTAAAGAACCGAGATTCTACCAAGTGAAACAAGCCCACACAATCAGACTACCACCCGCTTGTTTCACTCTTTTGTTTTACTTGGTGCTTTTTTAAGCTTTCATAAGGGCGGTGCCAGTAATATTCCTTGCCATCAGACTGAAAACGATTAGTTTTCGTTTCATCGGACCATACAACCCTTCATCGGACCATATAACCCTTTTCCAGTCATCAACACTCCAATTTTTGTGGTTCTTGCTAAATTTAAGACGATCCTTCACACTTTTTCTGATAACGCTGGTGTTTTCTGCTTTACGGCTGATATAAGGCCAATTCTACGAAGAGCTCCCCCGACTGCCCATTCACTTAAGGACTTATTTATGGCGACTATAGCCTGTTTTTTGTATTTTTACCTGTTTGGATGTCAATAAACGCTCCATAGTTCTGGCATCTCTCTCCGAAAGCAAACACGATCGACATTTCTTA